CATTTTTTTTTTAAAGAACCATTTTTTTAAAAACTAAAAAATATAAAATTTTAACTTTTTAACAAATTTTAAATTGTAAAGTATCTTTAAATTCATTTTTCTATTTTTCAATATATATTGTAGCAAATTTACATTTGTACACGAATTATCATGTCCACAACAAATTTCACAGAATTCTAAATCTGTTAAATCATTAATTTTATAAAAATTGCTTAATTAAATTTTAAAAATTTAGAATGCATATGAATATGAGTGTATTTTTTAAAAAAAAGAAAACAAAACATTTGTATGGGTCATACAGTATCAAGGACTATTTTCTTTTATAATTATTCTTCCTTTTATCCTAAAAAAGTTTTCTTAAAAGTTTTTTTTCTTAAGTGTTTCTTTTCCCATGAAAAAAGGTTGTCAAATATTTTATATCATTATCAAGTGACATTTGGCAACAAACAAGGTATTAATTTTTGATGAGATGTTGTTAGAATCTTATAAATTTCAATTAACCCCCTAAAGAAAATATAGTATTCTTTTCTGAAAAGCTCCAACCCATCCATCCATTTTTGGGGCATCGCTTTTTAATGGTTAATCAGCACAAGAGAATCAACATAGCTGGGATGGCACAACTAAGTTACAAGAAATTAAAATATAAATAAATACATCAGATTTTAGAAGGAACTATCAAATATTAAAGTCTAATGATGCACATATTTTTTTTAATTTTGAAATTAGTATTGAAATCAATTGAAAAATGAATCAAAACAATTGCACTGTTTTTCTAGAAATTAAATAAAATTTTAAATTTTTAATCAATCAAAATCTATAAAATTTTAATTAAAATATTCCTGCACAAAATTATAAGACATTGTCTATAAGAAACAATAGCAATGTTCAATTAAACTCAAGTGATGTTTAAATTATATATTTCATTGTTATGAAAATAAAAAAAGATTTAATGAGAAATAGTACTAACAACAGTATTTAGATAGTTTGCTCAGTGCCATACAAAACCAATGTTCTTCTCAAATTGTTTGTATAAAAAAAATGTTATAATGGTAAAATGGACTCTGAATGTCCAGACTAATTGAGCACTTCACAAAGGCTGAATTGACAAGCAATCATTTTCACAATACCAGTATGCAATACATTACAAGTGGATGATTATTTTGTTTTTTCAAATATATTTGAAGTAAAATTCTTAAAATCTTAGAATATTAATTGAAAATATTTTGAACTTTTAATAAACTTATGTTCTTACAGGGGAGTTGGATTCTATTTTTTCTCACTTTCAAATGTGTATATATATATATATATATATATATATATATATATTTTATATATATATAGGTAGTTCATATAACTAGATATATTAATGGTATGAACAAAGATTGATGGGTTTGTCTTTTTTTGTTTATATGTTTTTTTTATTTTAAACAGACAACTTAAATGATTTGTATTTTTTTAAAAGAACATATAAACAAAAAATCCGGGTTTTTAAATTTATATATATATATCTATATATATAAATTTTCTGCAGGTAAATTGTAAGCCTGTCCATTAAATTTGAGTATCTTTACCAAAGATATATAAAACGTATAGCAAAATCCTCAAGAAGAATATTATTCAAAATAAGTTATTTATATTTGGTCCAAAATAATATATTAAGGTTGGCTTTTCATCCGAATATTATAAAGAAATGAAAAACCGAGAGTTTTGAAGAATACATGCTAAGTAAAAGATGAACTGAAGTAACCAGAAGAGAAATGGAAAAAATTTTTTAATGCCCACAAAGAGTTTTAATACTTAATACATTTATTGCAGCATTGTTGTTATCATCTGGAGAAAAGGTGACAGGAAAATAGAAAAAGGCCAAGCGTACAGGACATCAAATGACTAAAAGATATAAAAGAAAGTTTCATGAAAGGCACTTAAGTATTTTGGTTTTTAAAAGAATATATGTTGTGGACCAGGCAGGTGCAGTGCTGGTTTATTACTGAGTGGCCTTGTGCCAGACACCACACTAAACTACCGAGTCCACAAGCAATGTAAAAAAAAAAAAAATAATGTAATAATGCGTGAATGAACAATGAGAGGAAAGGGGTCAATCAACAAGTGCATAAATTAAAAACATCAAAAGATAGCCGAAATAAAAATGACAAAGACATCTGTTTATAAAACATGAGTAAACAAAACTTTAATTAAATGGAAACAAGTAACTTATCTCGTGGTACGAGATTAATGAAAAAATGTCCCGCGCCAAAATAGAAAATACAAGATGGCTAAAGGCGGGAAAAAGAGTTTTAAAGGTTCTGAAAAAGTTCCGAAAACACGAGGTGTATGTTTTACATAGAAAGGAGTACTCACTGTGGATTTTTTTTTTTTTTGTTGTAAGTGTGTGTGGTATTTTTTTGTTCAGGTTCATAGAAAGAATGTTCGGTCGTCTCAGAGTTTTTGGTGAGGCATTGAATTGGTTGCTGGAAATTTTACAGGATTGCTGTGGGCATCTAGCCAGGAGAAACGAAGAATGTTTGAAGCGAGTTTCATGGTCTTGTGGAGTTGTTTACGGTGAGCCCAAAGAGACGAAAAATGTATGTTCGTTAGTAATATATCCCTGTCTGTATTTACTGTTGACTGACGAGGGATAAATGTAAGTCACCTGTTGAATACGATGTTTTGCCCACGACGGTGTCGTGTCTCAACATTTTCTCTGGCAGAAAACGGAGAAAGTCTGACCTGTGGATAGCAAGTTGTTCGTCAGTAGGATATCCCTGTCTGTATTTACTGGTTCACTGACGAGGATAAAAAATAAGCCATTAGTTGAATACAAAGTTTTGCTCACGACTGTGTCGTGTGTCTCTAACGTCTTCTGGTCGAAAACGGAGAAGGTCTGACCTGCGGGCAGCTTCAAGACGAAAGAAGTCTTGGTAAAGTGTGAAGTCACCATTGTTGAAATAAGATATTCCGCCCGCATATGGGTTAAGGGCACGGAATAAATGAGTTGCCCGTCTAGTTAGGTTGAAAGTCGGAAGGCAACTGGTTTGCAAACGCTGGCCCGTTTGAGACGCCGAAAACGCGCGGGAAAAAATTCAAAATCTGTTAGTCTGAGTTCATCAGTAGGAGCTAGCGAAGGTTACTGCTATGTCTAGCTGTGAGAGGAAGGAAAGGGGTGCAAACCAGCGCGCACACACGCACGAGTGTGAAAGGAAGGGAGGAAACTTCCGTTGTGGCGTAAAATATAGATGGAATTAATGTGTTAATTCCATAAATTACACTAACGAGAAAACACACAGAGGCAAGGCTGGAAAGCGCCAAAAGATGGATAACAAACCATGTCGACTTCAAGAAAGTGATATTTACTGATGAAAAACGTTTTAAGTTCAATGGACCTGACGGGTGGTGTACATGATCTAGAAAAGGTGAACCTGTTATTCTCAACAAGAGACAGATGGGAGGAGGAGGAGTCATGGTTTGGGGCATGGTATTTCCAAATGGAAACTTGTGGCTTGACTGGTTAAAAGGACGTCAAAATAGCTTGAGCTACAGAGAACTTTTGGAAAAGAGAGCCCTACCACTCATAGAAAAAGAAATGGGAAGTAATTTTATTTTGCAGCAAGATAACTGCAGCATCCATGTGGCCAAATCAGTGAAAAATTGAATGTGTGAAGCAAATATAACTACTCTGGAATGGCCTGCAAGAAGTCCAGACTTAAATTTAATTGAAAACATATGGGAAATGCTTGCAGAGCTTGTTTACGACAGGCCAGAAATAACCGGAGAGGCTGAACTGTGGCAGTGCATACAAAATGCTAAAAATAGACTGCTAGAAACACGAAGAGATGTTATTATCAATATGTATGAACATTATGAAGATAGACGGATAGAAGTCATTGAAAAAAAAAAAAAAAAAAGTGGTGCTGCCATAAACTTTTAGCATTGTTTCTGCAATGTCTGAAAAATACTGTCGCCTGTGTAATGTGAAAATTTGTAAAAAAAAATAAATACTTCTAATTTGAATTCTGCTTTTCCATTTGTAGTATTAAAACAGTTTTTAAATGTTATTGCCATTACACTAAAACAGTACAGACTGCCTGTGCTACCTAAAACTTGAAAAAATAAAGTGTCTGAAAAATAGTGTCCGCCCCCTGTATGTTCTCAAGGATGGCCCAATAAATTTAAATCATGTTGTCTGTGACAAGTTGGTTCCTTCAACTACTTTAGTAATTCTACCAAAACCATCTAGAATATCTATATACAACACCTTGAAATCAGAGATTTTCAACAAAATCTGTTTCCATAGCATTTGGAAGTTTTTATTGATTAGTTGTGTATTAATGAACTCTTAAAGCAGAAAAGAATTCCTCTTTAAAAACTTTCGTAGTTAAAGAATTTTAAAATTATCACAATATGAATTAAATTCAGAAGTTTTCAATAATGCATGTATGATTAATAATATGCAGGAAAAAATATATATTCAGTATAGTGATATATTTTTATTGTAATCTTGCAAGCATGAAATTCTCAATATTTATAAATGACAATAATATCTGGAAAAAAAACCTAAAATGATAACACAAAACAGGTTATTCACTAAAATATGGGGAAAACAGGTAAAAGAATAGAATTTAACAGAAAAGAGAATATTTTGAATTCTAATTTTTTTTTCAATCTTTACATTAAATGGTTTTTACATTTACATTTCTTTGTGAAATTAGAGAATTTTCAGTATTATCCTATTATCAACATCTAATTTTTTTTATTTTATTTTTTTTTTTTAATTAAAAATCTAATATAACTAACCATTTATTTTTTCCTGAAAGAATATCTTTACTCTCATTATCAGAACCTCAATTATAATTTATTGGTGTTTTGAAAAATGAATTTTTAGTTTAATACTCTAACCTAGTCATTTAGTAAAGAAAATAAAAAATAATGGGTGTCAATAATAGGAAAGTACCTGATTTTCTTTAACCAACAAAAAGGGGGGGGGTGTATGTCAATATACTTACTTGTAATGATCAACAACATGATGAACAGCATCAGCAAGTTGTTCCATGCTTGGATAAGAGTAACTACAAAAAAAAAAAGTGGAATGCCATTATGAATAAAATATTGCAGAAGTACAGGATATAAATCCCAGAAAATACCTTCTAAAAGTTGATTCAGTTAATTAAACAAATACCTAATTATCTACATAGATAATTAAACTTATATTTTTTTTTTTATTGGGTAAAATTTATTCCTTTTAGTAATAATCAATATGGAGTTTTTCTAATCATTAGTAAAATTTTGAAAATTTCTATATCTGAAATAAAAATTTTCAAAATGCTGAAGTCACTTAGACATTTAGTTTCATAGAATACATTCTGAAAAAGATACCTACAAACATGATAGAACAAAAACTCTTACCTCAAAATTCAACTCATCAATATGACCTAAGTTGTAGGGTAATCAGAATTCATTAAAATTGAGTTTAGAAGATGACCATCATTATCAATCTTAATATACCAAGTAAAATTATTTAATCATGTAATATCAGAATGTACAAGAGGGTGCTAAAAGTTTCTTGACCAAATCAAGGGGTTAAAAAAAAATTGTTTGGTCATTTGGCCAAATTATGAGAAGTGGGCCTTGCCACTATACCGCATTCCCCTCGTAGGAAGTCAGTCTGTCTTAATGAAGAAAATGTTGATCAAGTAATGGTTTTAAAGATTGACTGAGCATTAGATAAAATAAGATTATAGAATATAATTAATAAAGTATTATAGTGAAGAAATTGTTAGCTAACAATTTCATAGTCAATGTAAAAGAAAAAGTTTAAAAATTCCATTTTCTGAAAAACCACAAGATTAATATCAGGAAAAATGTTTAAAAACTTATTTTTTGAAAAGCTACCTGACTAGTATCAGAAATGTTAATAGAATAAATAGTATTATTTAAAGAGAAAATGTCCAAAGCTTGTTACAAAAAAAACAAAAAAAAAAAACAAACTTTTACACATTATTTAAAGTATAAATAGCAACAAGAAATGTCAAAAAATTAATCCATACTGTGTCTTAGCTTAGTTAAGAAAAGTAATTTAAAAAAAAAAAAAAACAGTAATTGTCCATATTAGCAAGATGTATTTCAATTTACAGGGTGTACCAGATAATTGAGAACAAATAATATAAAGAAAAATTTTCAATAGAAAAAAGATTAATTAATATTTAAAAAAAAGTTTGCACACATGTTCAAATTATAAAAATAGAAAACAGGTTATTCAATAAAACTGCCCTCAGCCTCAAAATTGAATGCACATGGTCAGGTGGTTCTCATTCATGTTAGCTATCATATCTATAATGATGAAATTTCGATTAAGCTCTTGATATTGTAGGGCCACTGATTAGTCTGTCTCAATAATGCCTCAGATATAATGTGGTTCAAATAAGCAGAGAAGGAGGCCAGATATTGTGGGTGATATAATCAGGAAAATTCTCACACAACTACTCTTAGGTCATGTGGGCAGGAGTAGATTTCTGTTGGGACACACAAGGCCATCCCTTCAATCCAGGGCTTGACCACTATAATCAGTAAATAAAATGTCAGCAGTGATATTGATTCTGAAGCTCCGTGGAAAGAAGTATGATAGCTTGGCATGGCATGGCCCTCATTGCTCACAACCCCCAGAACCATTAGGGACAACATGAACTTGGTGCAAATCACTGTTGATACTTTTGTAGAATTTGAACAAGGCCACATGGTTCCTCCTGATCATTTGGTCACTTTCAAGAAGCTTGCTATCAGAGTTGATGTGGTTGGCAGTTAGTGCCAGGAGCACATTGTGCCTTTTCATTTCCTATGTCAGATTGGAAGATGCCGTGTTAAATGCTCTCAATACATCTGAAAGAGAAATGAGAATGTTAAAATTTTGTTATTGTCAATTTATGGCCTGCTAAAGATGTGTTCTCAAATACATGGTGCACACTGTATATTTTACAGGATACAAGTCTACATTCCTCTGAGCAATTCTGTAACATGCATAGTTATTTATACAAAAATAAACCCAACTAAATCAATAAGTACATGCAATTGAAAAAAGCATTCAAAATAAAATTTTGAGTGCAATATTTTTTGAATAAAGGAATTGACAAACATCTACAAAAATTGGACCTTATTAAATTAGAAGGCAAAACAAAAACTACATTTCAACAAGAAAGTGAAATGAAATTTTGGCAAAGATTTAGATTAAAATTGCACTTAAATGGAAAACAAAGACATACTCGAAGCAATTAAAAATGGTCAAAATTTGAGTAGAGAAATCACTAATTAGATAAGAAAAGCAACCAAGATATTCTGATGGATGAAAAATAAATATAATTTTCATCTGATTTAAGGAAAGGAACATTCACAAGACATTTTTCATAGTATAAAATTAAATTTATATATTTGTTGCTCCATCTTAAAAAGAAAAATAGGGAATAAATTTAATAAATTTTTTTATAAATTACTATAAATACATAAACTACATGACTAATAGTTCTAAAGTGTATAATCACCAATTTTAAAAGAGTTCATAATATAAAATCTTACCTACAATTAATTTAAAATGACTAAATATTTTTTAGCTTACTCATATTTAAAAAATGAATAAATAAAATATCTGTTAAAAAAGAGGCATGACTAGTATTGTTGCTATTTTAATATTGGAGTTTTATTCTTTAAATAAAACCAGAATTCATCATTATAGAAATTTATGAAATAAAACTGGTGTTTATACACTGAATGAGACATGCAGCTCTTGTTGTTCAAATAAAATATGCCACTGTGCTAAAAACAAAATGTGGAATCTAAGTGAACAAATATTTTCACTGGTACATGAATTCCACCATGTCATCAAGCAACACTAATATTGCAACTGTTCGCAGGTTTTTAATTTATAGAAATTTGATTTTTTAAAATCTGAACTCAAATCACTACAAGCCTTTGGTTCACAAGAGGCTAAGATAAAAAAAATAATCTCAGAACACTTTAAAAAGAATATTTTTATGTTAGTCATGAACAAATTTCTACCAATCCCTACAGAAAAATGCAAGATGTCAGCCAACCACAAACAAAAAAAAAAAAAAAAAAAAACTGTACCATACAAAATTATAAAAATAATATTTTTCACCACAAGAGAAATTAGATATAATTATGCTCAGAATGGACACAACTACAGTATTTCCGTTGATGACTATTTTTGCTAATTATTAGATAAATGAAAGCTATTCACTAAGAAAATAATAGTCATGTGAGAATTGAAATTAATAATTTTTTGTGATGTTAGATGCTCACTTGTTCTAACTTTCATTAGGTCAATGAATGCTCGGTATCACTTCCAAAATGCTTGTTGTAGACAAGATTATGTAAATGAAGATACTGGTAGTAGTAACACCTGAAACTTAGCTTTTGCTTTCATGCATGTCCCTAGACCTTCAGAGAAAACTGAAAAACTCTTTTTCAGTTCACTTTTCAATTTTTCAGTTGCTGTATTAGTACTGGCAAAAATATTTACTTATTTCAAAAAGAGTTTATTGGGAGGTCCCACAGATCAAACAAATGCAATCCAGTCTGTTCCAAACAAATTAGCAATATTTTTTAACACAAATACTACCACTCTTCTGGGTTTTTCCGACAAAAGAAATATTACACCTGAATTTACCCCAAAAATTTAATCTCTTTCCCAAAACTCAATAAGCAATTTTATCAGAAGTTAATAAACTGAGTTTACCCATTTTCCTCCAAGTCTGTTCATTTATAATAGTGATATCCAATCCTTCTGTGTCTAATTGAAATTTTATCTTCACATCATTAATTTGCATGAAAACAAATTTCCTCTTTTGCGAAATGTTAATTTGCCTTTTACATTTCTTAGTACTGTATGTATTTATTCTATTCACATGTGTTTTACGTTTCCTCCATATTTTGGATCTGCAACACACACACTTTTGCGTACTAGTTTCCCCACACTCATAACATTTGTTTTCGGAGAAAAAAGAAAAAAGAAAAAAAAAAAAAAAAAAATCACTCTTAAAATGCTTACCTCCACAGCTGTAGCAAGTATTAGGTATTACGGAGGGTTTATAGTCTTTCCTTATAGTTCTATTAGGAGTTGAAAAATGTTAGTAGTTTTTCCTCTTAGTCGGACACACTGTACCTGTGAATTGTCTTTTTCCTCAATCCTTGCAGTATAGTGTTTCATATTCCCAATATGCTGACACTCTTCCGCTATTCTCTGGAGAGTTAATTTTGGATCCATTTCTAATTTAGAAAATTACCCTGGATCTTATCACTGCATCCTTGTTAGATGTTAAATCCTGAACGAATATCAGGCATTTAAACAAATTAGGAGTTCAATTAATTATAATTTTTCGCATTCTCAATTCACAACTCCTGCGTATGTGACAAAATCTTCATCAGACTTTACTAAATTAAGACATTGTCATTGTATATTAAACAATGAACTATCACCAAAAATTTTCTATAGTGTTAGGACAGTCTGATCAAAGTTTTTTCTCTTGGTTTCTTTGGCAAAATATGGTTTACATATTTTTCATGTTCAGCAGGGGATAATTTCCTCAATAATAAACAAACTTTTTTTTTCATCATTACAAGCGAATGATCTGTCTTGAAGATTCCTTCATATCTTCTATAGTAAGAGGGGGAAGTTATCCCTTCATCTGGATTGTACACAAACTCTGTGATTGAATTACCAACAGCATCAGGAGTGAACAAATCTGAAATGTTTTGTTTCCATCATGTTAGTGAACAACTCTAAAAACTTTTATTGCTGTAATTGTAACTGCTGTTCATGGTGTTTTTGTTGCTGCAATTGTAGTTCCTGCTGTAGTTTATGCTGCACCAACATTTGAACTATGATGGCCTTTAATTCTTCCATTTTTCTGCTGAATATTTTTTGCAGATTAATTTTTTTGTGTAAGTTGAACAAATCCTTGTCACCACTTTTGTGATGTTAGATGCTCACTCATTCTAACTTTCATTAGATCAATGAATGCTCATTATAACTTCCAAAATTCTTGTTGTAGACAAGACTTTGTAAATGCAGATACTGGTAGAAGTAACATCTTCAAATAATACTCCAACTAATAACACTTGTTCAAATAGTAATCGCCAAATAGTAATTCGTATAGTGGATAGTATAGAGAATAGCAGTCTCTTAGACGTCACATGAATTCCCAACGTTTCCTTTATTATCATGTGATCTACTTATCTAATAATGGAATAATCCATATTTGCTCTCTGATGATCTGTGTTCAAACTACAGTGTCAGCAACGAACGACACTTTATTCCTATACAACATAATTTGAAAGAAATTATGTTTTTGTGATCTAAACATGCAACTGAATATTTAAAATATTTATTATAAAGGAATAAACTGTAAAAAAAAAATTTTAAACCATTTTTTCAATCAAGTTTTGAATAGTTTTGATATTACAAGATTCAAATTGTTTCAAACTAGATAAAAATTTATCAAAGTAAATTCTAACATTTTCATCTGAAGAAAAAAAAAATGAAATCTAACCTTAAATTTAAATTGATAAGAGAATTTTAGCTGATTTCAGCACGAATCATTTAATAATTTTCTCTCAGAAAATTTAATAAAATTTCCTTCTGTTTATTTATCTCTAATTATGATTTAAAAGAAAAAGGAGATCAGCCAAGGAGAAAAGAAATTATAATTTTAAATTTGGTCTCTCTTCCAAATACTTTTTAATGATTTTTCTTTAAACAAAGAAAAATGATTAAATATTCAAATATTTTTTTAAGCTTGAACCATAAGTCAATATTTATCTATAAAGTGTATTAATATCTAAGAAAAAGATTCATTAATCTCAAGGAAATTTATTTGAACTTCTCCATAAAGCAATTTTTATTTACAATCACTGGTTTTCTTCAATTGTACAAAGCAAATAATAGAAACTGAAAAATTGACTTTGGTGCTAAAAGACAACTCCAACTGCACCACAAACTGTACATTATTCCTATTTGGTCTGCAGAAACTTAATATTGAAATAATTTATTTAAAAAATAAAAGAAATCAAAACATAATTTAGAAAATATTATTAAAAAAAATAGAGGGAAAAATGTAAGAATTAGATAAATTAGTATTGAATAAAAATTAGTTAACTTTTTTTTTTATTAATATGGATCAAATGTAAGGATTCTTCCAGTTTAAATAATCAAAACAAGTGTCAATGAGTGATGGTTAAAATGCAAACATGGTCAATATTAAATTTCAGGTTACTTTCAAATATTTATTATATATAAAAGATTATTTGTATATTATAAAAAAATGAGCCGAGATTTTAGGATCTTTAAATAATTCCATTAATTATTAAACAGATTGTAAATAATATTTCAGCAGAGAATAAATAAATTGGATAATTTACACAGTTTATGAAGTAAAATTTTCAAATCAATTTCTGGTATAAAAACATATTGTCTCTCCTAAAGATTACAAAAAAAACAAAAAAACTATCTTGTTTTATTGTTTGGTGCAACTGGAAATACATGCAAATCTAAAATTGAATCACTACTTGTCTATGTAAAGTAAAATGAAATAAACAAGTTAAGAAAATAGTAAAAATAAAGAACAAAAATCATCCCAGAGATATGAATTCTGTGTAGCAGTAGTATAGCAGTGAGTACAGAAAAAAATCTAAACAAAGCGGTGGCACTATAACCACGATAGAAGCTTTAACAGGGTAGGAAGCAAGCTTAAACAGCAAAAAAACTAAGTGTAAACATGACTAAGAACTGCATACTGACCTGTTTTCATTAAGGCTCTCAGGATTACCAAGGGCATCTTGCCTAATAATATTTAAAACACCACAAATGCTTAACACTACATTTAGTTTTTTCTTAGAGCAACAGAAATGCTTTGACATTACAAGACAAGGTCACACAAATCAGGCATCCAAAGCATAAATTCTCACCAACTTCCCAAAATACACACTAATATTTAACAGGACACATTTTACATCAATAGATTTAATGGACCTACAATTCAAACTGCTTCCTTCCTTAATCTCACACAAACACGCACACACACACAAATATGAAACAAAAACTGGGCATTCTGAAATTCTTAATTGATCAGTACAAAGTAAATTATTAACAAAATTGAGAAAAAAAACTCCAATTGGCACAGTCAGAAATTTTTCATAGATAAAATTTCACAATATTACTTTATAATGTAATTTAAATGCATATGTAGACATTTGCATCTACTTCATTCAAGCCCATTCACAAAAAGAAAAAAAAAACTGAAGCAAGGCCAATGAAAATGAAATAATCTTTAAGGACAGACACACAATCACAGAAAGATTAATTGGAGTGATTGTCATTTCATATTTTTTTTTACTACTAGCATTAAAACATTTTCAAAATCAAATGAAAAATGATTAATTTTAATAAAAGGTAAGCATTTCAGCATTAAAACAAAGTTATCTTAAAATTCAATGTTATTGCATGTTAGCCTGTAAAAGTCTTAATTTACAAATTATAGCAGAATTTCCAACCCAGGAAAAAATTGCAGATTCATTCAGACTGATATTCAAATATTATTTATATTCAATCTTTCACTTATGTGAATGATATTTATTTCACAATTGACAAAAACTCCAAAAATCTCTTAAAATCACATGCACATAAATATGAAACACTTAAAATTCCATATAAAAAATAACTCCTTAAAAATCCCAATAATTGAATATTTAATATATTTGTTAAAAAAGAAAAGAATTTACATAACACTATGTTGCATTTTGATTTTGCACAGATCAAAGATAAAATTAATCAATAATTGTGATAAATTAAAGATTTTTTTTTTAAAAGACTATGTGTTTTGTACTACAATTCCTAACAAATCTGTCAGAAATTGGATTAATGCATTATGTCTGAATTTAAAAAAAAAAAAAAAAAAAAAAAAACACAACTGAAAATGCTAATTCATGATGGTGGGGCTTTTTTTAGTCTTACCATGAATTAGCATTCTCTTGGATTATTGAGAAATAAATTAACCAAGTGAAACGTTTAAATACAACTAAAAATGTAAATGTCAGGTTCTTATATTTCTAAATTTTTCATAACAATCATAAAATTATTACGTGAAAAGTTATCAGATAATTTAGATGGTCATTTTACTTAATGTTTTTAAAGAAAAAAAATAAACTGCTACTTTTTATTTTTTTAATATACATGACTTATTTTATAAGAACTCTAATTTTAACAATCAAACTATATCTGCCCAAATTTATAGATTTATGAATAAAATTTTTTATGCCCACAAACACAACAGTGTTTTTCAAATTTAATCCATAAATAACATTTAACCCTTTAATACATTTTGACAACTTTTTAAGAAAGAAATTAAAAAGCCTCTACATTTGTAAGTCTTGTAAGAAGGGGAAAAAATGATTGGTTAGCTCTTTAAAATTGTAAAACTCCTGCTGAGAAATCATATCCTTCTCCTCACTTGAAAGTTTTCCTATGCATTATGATTTACGTCAATGACATGGAAATATAAATTGATATTTATCCAAAATAGTCTTTAAAGAATGGGAAAAAATTTTTGTAATTGTTTTTTTAAAACCAGTCCTCAAAGACAGGACAGGATTAAGATTTTCAAAAACATTTTTAAAAAATGTCTGCACACAAGGTGCAACCTTTTTAAATGAGAAACCAACATTCAATAGATCACAACAAAAACATGAGGCTAGGCAATATAATTAGCGAAACATGCTTTTTGATTGGCCAATTTTTCTAAAGTGAGCTTAACAACAGCCACAGTCTGAAACAATAGCAAAAGAACTGGCCCTGAATAATTTGCTAACAAAGACGCTTTGAGATTACATGCCGATAGCCAAACAATTCACATGCAGCAATAATTAGAGTAGGTCTTTAGACCATATATTTCAACACTACCACAGTTATTCTACTACCCATTTTTGCTAGACACTTTTTGTCATAAGCATACAATGCACAAAACACAACTAATTGTGCAGAAGTTGGTTGCTCACGTACAATGTTGAGCTATTAATTCCACCCATGGGGAAAAGGCATTAAGTTAGTGAAAGAGAGAAAAGCAGGAATCAGTGTACTGTAGTGAACAACCACATGACTGCTGAAAAGGAGTCAAACTGAAAGTTAACTTCATCAAAGTAAAAACAAAACTGAACAACATTAAGAGAAAAACAGCAATGCACAGTGCAAAATCACCTATGCTTTGTAATCAAAGAATAAGCATAGTTTGATTATGATCACACTTTAATTACATTTGAAATAGATATAACTAATAATAAATAGTTTTATTACATTGATACACTATCATCTCTTCATGCTAGTTTCCTGATCTTTATTGTTGTTGTTTCTGTTACTTTTGTATAAAGAGCAGACTGGCCATATAATACATTCATAAGTTTCTTAAGTATATATAAAACATCAGTGAATAAGACAAGATACAACACAACCCAAAAATGGAATAAGCAACCAAAGCATTCAGTTTAAAAGCAAACATGGAATAAAATTTCCTGTTTTAGGTCAGATGAGAGAAGAATTGAATCATTGAATCAACCTTAAGCTTAATACAGCAAACATATAACATTGGAAAAGTAGGATTCAAGTTTTAAAAAGAAAAGTGTACAAAAAACCAGCAATGTAAATAGCAATATAGCTTACTTAATAAAAATGTAAGCATTAGAGAAGAAATATAAACAATGAAAATGCATTTTTTTACTAAATTTATAACAATATTAAAAATAATAATTTAAGTATTAAGATGTAAAGAAATCCTTATCTAAATTCAATTACAGCCATTTCAAGCATTGTATCTGTTACCAACTAATTAGTTTAAACTTTCATTTAAGTTTAATGTACAGGTTTGAATAACAAATATATATAAATTTTGAGAAAAAAAACAAAACTTTCAGTCTCCAGTCTTTTCTGTTTAAAAGTCTATGAATTTGTTGTTACTCCATTTGATCTGTATAATTTTGGGGATACACACATACAGTGATATTCAGGATAACTTTTGTTTTAATGATTTGATCAAACAGTGTAGATCAATTACAAATTGTAGAGAAACTAGGGAAAAAAATTAGCCACCAATAAAACAGGTCACTGGCTGCATAACTGCTTTGTTCATAATTTATGCTAATTCATATAAAAATGAAAAACACTTCATTATTTCCATTTTACCAACTGATAATAACTTTGCATTTTATGTTGAGTAATAACCAAATGTTGGAAGTGTTGGTAGCACAATGGTTATCAGTGCAGAAAGTGTACTTAGTAAGTCAAGTTCTGTCTTAGGCTGTTTACTTCACACTAATGCCATTAGGCAATGCATGAATTCTTTTATTCTCCCACAAGCTATGGGTTAAATAAAAGAGTAGATTAGCTTTGGGTGGCAGCCAGTCTAAGAAAAAAAACAACTATTAATTCAATATAACAGAGTAGGCAATGAAGAAACCACTATCTTTCCCAATAATTCATAGTAATTCAAAGAAAATATATAAAGAACTATGATCACCATCATCCTGAAGTTGCATAACATTTAGGAGGGAATTGTTCTATACAAATTGTATTGTACTGTACAATTAGCATTTCAAAGTCTTATACATGAATTCAAGAATTATATTTTATATAGGATTTCTAACATTTAGATATATTCCTTCCTCCTCAACATAGACATTTTAATAAAATTTAAATTTAAATTTCAAAATTGTATACTAAGAATTTATTCAATTTGCAAACATATACCTACATGTAAGTGACTCTCACAATAGTTTCACACACGATATATACACTCCTGGTCAAAATCTTAAGACCAGATACAAAAAGGTTAAAAAAAAAAAAAAAAAAATATAAAATACTGTTACTTTAATTGAAATATATGTGAAACATTTACATTTAATTAGAAAATGTAGTTTATCAACAAACAAGTGAAAATTTTAAGCTTTTATTTGATCAATTTAAACAAACATTGAAAATGTATTTTTTGGTAACAGTATTTAAAATTTTTTTTATCCCTTTTGTATTTGGTCTTAAGATTTTGAACAGGAGTGTATACCTACAATTGAAGATATCAATAAATATCAGTGAAACAAACCCATAATTACTGAACTATACTATCAGGTTCAATAGTATGAATCGAGAACATAACATTAAATCCTTTTGCAGTTTGGCATATTTAAGATTATCATTCTGTACAAACAAATGAAATGTGTTTTTTTTTTTAAAGATGCTAAGATAAATGTTTATAAGAACTCCAATATTTTTGATTTAATGTAACATATCTAACATTATCATCATTCAAACACAAGGTCTCAATGGTTTAAAATATGTTGAATAATGGTTATTAAACAAAAAAAAATTAAAAAGTACTAAAATGAATATCTTAAGTGAAAAAAAGATAATTTTAAAGTAGGAATTAAAATAATTGAAGTTTCTAAAATACTCACTCTGGTCTCAGTGGGAGAGCACCCTCCTCTTGACCTGGGGCATTAAAGTGATAGACACAGAAATGGCGCAAGATGGGTTGCATGTCAGCAAAACTAAAGAATCCTTGAAAACAAGTGACATCTACAAAAGAAAAATTGTTAGAAAACTGAAAACTTTTCAAAATAGCATCTACAAATTAAACCATTTCAACATCCTTAGTTCATATTTCAAAAGAAAAAAAGAAAAAGAAAAAAAATGAAAAAAATTAAAATGATTCCCTATAATAATTAATAAAGACAAAAGATCAAAAAGAATTCAAAACACCTCTAAATTAAACTATTTGACCTTATTTGATATTTTTTCATAATGAAAAAAATATTACTCAGTTTTGAAGGTTCAATCACAGTGGATAAAATTTTTCTGACAAATTTAGTCAAAAGAAAAAAAAAAAAAAAAAAAAAACCTTATTTTCTTAGTAATTTATATTTTTAAAAAATTACCTATTTACCCAAAAACACTTGTGAGTCTTACTAAGTGGTAGATTGTAGGGCAAGCCTTCAAGTTCCTCTTAGACTAGCCAACTAGTTTCAAACTGAACTAAAAAGCATGTTTCCCCATTGTAATCATTTTAGTATCTGTAAGGCGGCATGGTGGAGTAATGGATAGTGGCTCAGATTGAGGAATCTGTGAGCCGAGTTCAAATTCCAGTTGAATCCATTACATTCTCTTACCTGCTAATATGCTTGGGAAAAGTATGAATCCTCTTCTCCCCCAGCTATGGGTAAATAGCAGGACAGACAGGGTTCTGTAGCCTTGGATAGCAACTGGTCTACCACAGAAAGAAATGGTCACCTACTGCGGGAAAAAAATCTGCCTCGTCAGTCACATATTGAAAGATACCATGTTCGCCTACATGTGTATCACGTATGGCACATAACTGACTGAAAGTTCATTATCCAGACACCAGGACTAAAGATCAAGATTTGTATATGAAATTTGAAATCTTGAAATTTTTTTTATTTAATTTTAAAATGGCAGAATTCTTGTCTATATTTCCAAGATGAGGTATTATGTACACTATTTACATTATTCGTCCGAAACATTGTAATAAATATGGTGACAAAGATGAGGACAATAGTCCAAAAAATGTAAATAGTGGGCAGAATTCTTTTAACCACATTTATCCTTCTACTAAAAACTATTTAGTAAATAAAAGATGTTAAAATGGTGCAAATATTTAATACACAATGACCAATATTAAATGTTGATTATAAAATAATCACAATAAGTATACATACTATTAATAAAATTATTATTAGTGCATTAATTTAAATCTATAAATCATATAGATCTATGATATATGAAAATAAATGTGAAGCATTATAAAAGAAATGGAGTTGAGATCCAGTTAAATGCTGGTCATTGTCAAGAAATTTATTAAAAAGATATGCCAGGTTTGTATGTTCCAAATGTGGAGGTCATAACAAAATTATTAACTAGAAAGAACATTAATATTCTTATCAAATAGACTCTATATGACCGGTAGTGGTCAGAAGGAAAAGAGAAGACATGGTGGGTAATATCTAAAGAAAACTCTCAAATTTATCAGCCTCACCACAACCCTCCACATTTCCATTCACTACTAAGCAGTCCCACTATTTCAATAACTAATGAGACAGATTTTCTCTAAGCATTGAATTAATCTAATTTCTCTATTTTTGTCAAGGTTTTATTAGGATATTTTCCTAAATTAAGTTTGTCTAATTTGTTTTAAAGATTAAAAGAAATCTATGGTACATGAAAAATGCTCAACTTGACATTATATCACAAGAAAATAGAGTAAGCAAGCAGAGCAGTTATGATGATTAAAACAAAGAAAAAAAAAAGAAAGATATATATATATATATATATATATATATATATATATATATATATGTACACACACACATAGTCATTTTATGCTAGTGTAAAATTCTATCACCAGCTCAAATGAAATTAGCACTTATTCATGATTGGTAGAAATTAGTTAAATGTTCCTGGAGTCAAAAACAGTATATGAAAACCAATTTATCCTAAAGAACTTGGTGATAGAAAATTTGTTAACACAATTACCACCAACAAAGATGTACAAAAGTAACTCAAAACTTCAATAGATCATTTCTCCTTAAAGGCTGCATTCCTGAATGAAAGCTTCTGCATCAAAATGATTACTTTTAACATTCATCCAATAAGTGCAGAAGAAATTCTCAACACTTGAAATTTGTGGCTTTAATAGAAATTAGTTATAGAACTTAATTTTTATGTGTAAACTAAATAAACTGTACTGAAGCATCTGGTTTATCTTAAATCAAGTTAACAGAAGTTTTTTTAAAAATATATGCCAAAGTATTTTTATAATCTTTGAACAGATAAAATGATATACAAGTAAGAATAATTTCAGATTTCAGAATAAAAACAAACAAATAAATATTAGATAATATACATTGAGGTTTGCATCTTCAGGATTTAGTAAAAGAAAGTCATATTGTTGGTTGCTTTATAATTTATTTTTCTTGGATTCTCCCACCTGAATGGTTTAAGTATTCATTTGATTTAAAATTGTTTAATCCTTAAACATTGATAAAAATATTCAAATCAAGTCAGAATTTGTAACGGACATTTGCAGTTGCAGGGTGCTAAATACCAAAAGAAAGTAATGACAATGACACTGAAAAAACTAAGATGTTTTGCTTATATTAGGTATCCCAAACTACCTTTGTTTACAGTGTGAAAACATATACAAATATTGAAATTTCATTCCATTTCAACTATTGATATCTTGTTTATTATCAAAGCTATTTTAATAAAATTATTATGTAAACAAAATTTAATCTTTTCTCTTTCTAAAGATACAATTCTTTCTTACATGCGATAATTTATTTTCATTTCATGTCTCTTTAAATTATGTCACTATTTCAACATGTTTTTCAGTATTTTCAAAGTTGACAATTTCATAGCAGTGCTTTTCAAATTTGTTGTGCTAAGAATTGTTTCTCCCTACACATATCAAAATAGCCCCATCTTAAAGAAAAATGGATGCTTATCAAATGGGTGGGATAACCATATGGTTTGAAGTTGACTTTCACAAAATATACTTCAGTGAATGCAATACCAAAGAAATTCAACTCTTTAAAAATAAATAAATAAAAAAATAAATAAAAATTGCACCTCCTTGGAGAGCAATGTCTTAATAATCAGTTGGTTTGATATCTCTGCTCCCATAAACTTCTAGGCACACAGAAATCAAAAAGAGAGTATACGGTGTTCTTTTTGTGCAAACAGTTGAGTTTGATGCATCAAAATTTTTGTATTGCTGACTAAGTGAATGAACATCACCAGATGAAACAATTCTAATTTAAAATCTGGTTTATCAATGGATATTACAGTTTAAAGTAATTAGGTAATTTTCAAAATATAATCAGTTTATTTTTTTTATTTTTTTAAATCATTATTTGTTTACAAATTCTAAGGATTAAGTCCTATTTTGGAAGTTAAAATTAAACTGTTGCAGCTTCTTTAAAAAAATTTTTTTTTTTAATTTTTAAAAAAAATTACATTTTATAGTTCTTCAACTTTTGCAAACATGCAGCATCTTTTCATAATTACTCCCACCAAACTTAAGCTGTTATAACAGCATTTATGGAAGATAACAAGCATAATATCTTTTTTAAGTGGATATCTGTCTTTTTTTCTTTTTTTATATTTTAGTGCTTTCCATGCCAGAGAATCCTACCCAGGAGATTAATAAAATTTACATTTATGAACTCCATGCCCTAAATAGTTTTCTTCTAAATAGGAGAAGTAGGCTGAAGAAGCCCACAAATTTCTTGCAATGTATACTGATAAAGTCTAAAACTGTAATGAAGGGAATAAACATTTCACTGATATAACTTTTAATGAAACTTCATCACCACCTCTAAAAGGAACAAATGGGACTTAGTGAACCTGAGCATTCAAACAACTCTAGCATTTGTGATGAAGAAGAACCACTTCAAATGACTTTCAATCCTGAGCACCAAGGCCAACATGTTGCAGTATACTATTACTCCAACTTTTATATTGATCAAATAATTGATATCGCATCTCTATCCAATGCAGTAATCAAAATTTTAGTTACAACCCAAAGCAAAATTTTTTTGATGGCCTTTGTTAGATGATAGTGCACAAGTGGCATCAACATTTGTCTTTAGATGAGACTTTGATATAATATCACTTTCAAGTGATGATAGGATATGGCTTGTTTCAGGAATATTGGCTATAGCAGTGTCTTATAAACAAATTCAAACTGCAAATCACCATTAGAAGAGAAAATACAGTAAAGACCATTCCAACTGTCCAAAGACTTTTCGTCAGTTCCAATAGGCAAGCTAAAAAAGAATGGTTAAACGAAAAATGTGCAGAAATAGAGATTGAGTACTACCAAGAAAAGAGACATGCACAAACAAATAGGCAACTAACAGGACAGAAGACATGCTCGTCAACAGGCTGCCTAAAATCAAAGGGAACACTCATATTAGAGGAGGAAAAATTCTTCGATGATGGAGCAAGTATATTGGAGAACTCTTCTACAATGAAAGGGAACAACCAGCAATACACAAAATTACCGATGAACATGGAATTTGGAAAACCAAAGTAAAAGCTGCACTGACCAAATTGAACAAACAAGTCAGCTGGGTCAGACGGAATTGTAGCAGAAATGCTGACAGCCTTAGATGACTTTGGTATAGACAAGATCACTGAAATAACAACAGCGGGGATATAGCAGAAGATCTTCATAGCTATACTTAAGAAACCAGGGGCAATTGAATGCGAAATCCACTGAACAATAAGCTTAATGAGTCATGTGACAAAACTAATCATCTGTATTCTGATAAATAGAGTGCATAGCAGAATCAGGCTAGAGATACGACAAGAACAGTGCAGGTTCGTTAAAGACACCAAAACGCAATATTCCTGCTCAGAATGTTATCAGAAAGAGCAATACAAATGTAGAAGGTCATGTACCTATGTTTCATAGACTATGCAAAGGCCTTCAACAAAATACGCCACAAGGATCTGATTAGCAACCTCGATATCAGAATAATCAAGAACCTATACTGGCAGCAAACAGCATGTATGCACATAGGGAACGAGTTCTGTGAATATACAAAAATAGAAAGGGGCATAAGACAAGGATGAGTCTTCTCACCCAACCTGTTCAACCTATACAGCAAGGCAATTCTAAGAGAATTGGAAACCCAACCAGGATTTAGCATTGGCAGCCACAATCTTAACAACGTAAGATATACAGTAGATACAGTATTGATAGCAGACATGGAAATGAAATTACAAAATCTCCTACAGAAGATAGCAATGGAGAGTGTGAAGAAAGGACTAAGCATAAACCACAAGAAAACAGAATGCATGATCATCAGTAAAAGGATGAGCCCAAAATGCAATTTGCAGGTCAGGAACACTAGAATCAAGCAGAAGTTTAAATATCTGGGAAGTGTTTTGACAGAGGACGGTAAGTATGACACAGATCTGTAGACATATTGGGATAGCCAAAGATGCATTCAAAAAGCTGGTCAAAGTATAGTGAGATAGGAGGATTTCTTTGCTAATAAAGAAAAGAATACTGAGCTGTTACGCGACATCTGTCCTTCTTTACAGCAGCGAATGTTGGACGATTTCCTCAAAGATGAAGAGACTCGAGGCAACAGAGATGTGGTTCTACAGAAGGATGCTAAGGATATCATGGACCGAGCATGTGAGCAACAATGAGGTCTTAGAAAGTATGCAAACAAGGAGGAGGGTTATACTTAACATCGGCAGATGAAGTTTCTGGACACATAATGAGGAAAGAGGATCTGGAGAATCTGATAATCATGGTTCGAATAAAGGGAAAGAGAGACAAAGGAAAACAACCTGGCAGGCTTAAGCAAGTGGATGACAGAACATGGTCTGGGGAAGGAAGCAGAGGGAAGAAACTTGAGAGCTGCAAGGGATAGATGGAGGTGGAGAGCCATGATTGCCTATGTCCTGAAAGGACATGGCACACAAAAAGAATTTCAGTTTTTTTTAGTTTGAAAATAAATGAGTTTAAAGCTTTACAATAAGTATGTTTGAAGAATTGTCCAATGATTCATTTCATTAAACAAATTTTTAAGCTTTGTAGTCACTAGTCTCCTTTTTTTTTTGACAATATTGTATAATTTAACAAAACATATCTATTTAGTGCTTTATTGAATTCTACATTCTAAAATTAGTAAAGTTTTGGGCATGTATTTATGCATATGTTCATGATGGTATACTTTTGACCCGTTTTTGCCCTACTGTGCTTCTAGTTATTTTTACTTGGTGCAAATGTGTTTTTTTTTTTTTTTTTTTTTTTAATGATTACTGAAAAAAAAATGAGCTTCATCTCTGCTGTGCTATGAATCATACCAAAAAGTTGCAAAATATTAATTGTTGAAATTAAACTTATACGAACAATCAAAAGTGCCCTTTTGTGTCATATCTAAATTATGTCATTTTTGAGAACAATTTTTCCTTAATGTTTAGACTGGGTTGATCTAATAATTATGGATTCCATTATTATTTTTTATTATTATAAATTATATTTCTTTTACTTGAAGACTACCTATATGACATTACATCTATAATGATTTTTAACTAGTTTGAAGCATGCATCTTCAGTTATACACTGTTTAAATTGGCTTCTGATCCATTAGCACATGAGGCGGAAAACTGACAAACTCTGAATGATCATAATTTTGTTGCTAATTGAGCTACCAAGAAAAATACTATTGATACCATTTTTAGGTTTTGTTAAGTTCTCTATACCTGTATAAAAAAGGTTTTTAGAAATATTGAAAATAAAATCTTAATTTGGGGTACCTACTTATATAAGTCAAAAGCAGTACAAACCACTTATATTAGTCATTTACTTATCAGGAAACATTTGGTAGTCATTGATCAAGCAGTCAGTGATACTTTCAGCTGAAATTTATAAAATCTTTCTCTTAAAAAAATTTTTCAGGAAAATAGGTTGCTCATTTGTAACTATTATTGCTCTTTCCAGTATTGATGAAAGCTTTCTTCTTAACTTTTTGTTTGAAATCATGTGGAATGTCAACATCTTATGTCATTTAAAGTATTTGAAAGTGTATATATAGTCATCTTCCAACTATATTAATTGGAAGATGACAACTAAAAATGTCTTAGCCAATGTTCCATGAACATGATAGAAAGCCACAACTTCTCATGAGACTCTGAAAATTGTTAGAGAAAGTAGTATAAAATTTCTTGCATGGCCAACCATGAGAGAAGTGTTGGATAATTTTCAGTTTTACTTCCTAAAATATTCTGGACAGACTAGCAATGACTGCATCAATCAACTACAATGAAGCTACCTCGTAACAACCAACAAGCTTTCACCTTTAATAAATATAACTTTAGAAAAATCCTGACCAAAAAGAAGATTATAATTAAAATATTTAGATAGATTTAGAGCTGGCCCATTATTTATAATAATAAAATTCAAAGCATCTTTAACTTTAGCAATTAAATTAATAGCAACAAAATTACATTATGTATAAAATAGGTTTGTTAAATAAGTCTGAAATCAAGCCTTTTACTAAACTTATCACTAATATCAGAATTTAGGAACATTATCCAAACATGAATGCTTCAAGTAAACACTAATTTATATCATGTTTGTTGAAATATTCATATTTTTGAGGATTTATCTTTATAGCATCACAAGGAAACTTACGATTTAATCCAATGTCATGAACTGTCAAAATTGCTGGCTTTATTCTATCACCTTGGATGGCAACACGAATGTTACCGCAAGGTGTTTCCACATCCTCTTCCTGAGAGAAAAGACAATATCAACAATAACATGAGCAAAAATACAATATTATACAGACTTTAAAATATATTACAATTAATTCATGTTATAACAATATTAGAAGATAATATCTATGTATATTTTACTATTTTTGATGCTATTTAATGTAATAAAAATGATTAGCCTAAATTGAAATTTGATCATTTTGTAAAATCAAAATGACATAAGAAAGTAAAAATATTTTCTAAATCTCACAATGTTTAAAATCTAACTCAACACTGGTCTGATAATAAATATAAGCTTTTAAATGTTTATAGAAAAATTAGAGATGAACAGCTATAAATTTTAATAATTATACAGCAATGAACAAGTTAAAAATAAAAATTATTTTACATTTTTACCTGTAAGACGATAGAGTTAGCATCACTGACAAATCCCCGCTGTTTGGGTTTTGTCACATGCACACTACTCAATTCAATATCAGTCAGCTTCTCCATTGGGCGACCCTGAAAATAAGAGGGTAAAAGTTAACAACAAAAGGCAAATAAATACCATTACATAAACTCTAAAGATCAGTCAGAGTTTTATAATATTCTTTGTTTACACAACTTCATAACTTATAATTGGTTGAAAACAAATTAGAGTATTCTTTACTCCTTTTTCAAGTATATTTGTTTGTTTTATTTTTGCAAAAAGCAGCAGCATAAAAGAGAAATCTAAAATGTGTGATTTTGTAATGTCATTTAATAAAAACCAAAAGTTAGAAAGCAAGGTGAAACGTAAAAAAATTAGATTTTGTTTGCCTAGAAGATAAGGTATGAATAAAGATAACTTTATTTTTGCTTAAACTAGAATCCTTATCTTTTAGATATATTTATAGAATCCTGTATTGAAATGAATCAATTCAAATGTTCAAAACAAAAAAAAAAAAAAACGTGGAAGTTGTCTCAGGAAGTTTACTAGTCAAAATAAAAATATAAAAAATCCAAATAAAAACTCTGAATTTCCTAATTTATTTGCTTATATTATAAGCCAAATTACCAACAAACCAATTGATCAAAAAGCAAATCTACAAAATAATTATGATATACAAGAATATCCTGTTGAATACAGGTCTTTTCAATGATTTTTTTCGTATTTATTTAAAACTATATATAAATTTCTATTAAAATTAAAGTGTTATAAAAAAATTAGTAATATTGATATTTGCCTGTAGAGTTGGGAGGCATATTATTGAATCATAGAACCCAAAATACTTTATATTTGAAAATGGCAATCTTTAAAAAAATAAACCATTGCACAAAGGATTAGCAAAAGAGGCACTGTTCCAAAGTTACAAATCAAAGGAAAGAATAATAATTTGGTTAGTTGAACAAATAAATTCATGGTTACTGAGGGTTTTTTTTAGTAGAAATAAACAAATATTGGTTAAAAAAGAAAAAAATTAGTTAAAATTATATTAATGTAATAAAATGTTAAAAGAAAAGAAAAGAAAAAATTATATTTTTGTCTTTATTTACTAAGTTCTTATATAAAGATTCATAATATTACAAATAGTCAATAGTCTTTGACAGAACATTTAGATATTAAAATGTGTAGTTTTGTGGTACAATAATGCTGAATGGGCATGTAGTGCCAAACAGTTTTTTCAATTTAATCAGTAAAAAGAAAAAAATATCAACTTGCTAATCCTTCTACCAGGTAAGATTAAGATATTAGTGCTTTGATAGAAACTTTGGAAAAAATATTAAACATTTAAAATTGAAGTTCTGGTCTGTGCTAGAGAAAGAAAAATTTGTAGAAGGAGATGTTTTGTTTTATCCACATCCAATTAAGAATCCTATAGACAAGAGCAAATAATCTACAATAAAACTATAAATCTGAATACATGAGAAAACTCCTCAGCAACTCTGGAAATGGATATAAGTTGCATAACATTCACTTTTATTAATACTTTAACATATATACTTTATATTATTTTAACTTAAAAGAAGTCTCTAAGAAAATTAAATATATGTATATAACCACAAAATAGACTAATGCTTGAAGAGATTTACAAGAAACACATTAAAATTATAGGATTATAATACATTAAAATAGTTTATTCTTCTATAATGCTACAAGAAATTAAGAAAATTATAATAGTGAAAAAGAAATGTTAAAATTGATTAAGTTACAGAGAACCATTTTTCTGTTTGTAAAGAAAATTAGCCTAATAAATCATACAATGTTACTGATGTCAATTCTTCTATCCATCTATAATGAACTATTATTAATCAGTGCAGATAATTCTTTCAAAAATATTGAGTTTAAACTGAACATGTTTTTTTTTATTGTCCAAACCTCAGTGTCAATTTTTAAAGTATCATTGTTAAAATGTTTCTCCTGTATATTCTGTATTTTACTATTTTTGAATCAACATTTACAAATTCTATATGTTATTCAAAGACAGTCAAATAATATTTTCACAGATAAAGGTTCCATTTATCAAATAAGTATCAATCAGCAAATTAAAGTATAAGATTTTCATCAAGGATTTTAAGTTGTTTTTTTTTCTACTTTAGTTATCTTAACCTTTTTTAGTATAATTTACATTTTGGTTGTTTTGAAATTGCAAGTTCTACTCTGTTAAAGCCGATGGCAGAGATTAACAACAATAGCAGAAACTTATTGGCAGTAAAACATTCATTATATTGCTTATTCTAGTGATACAGATTTAGTTTTTATCTGAAAGTCAGCTAATTTGCCCAGTAACTAAGAGTTATTTAATCCTAATAATTTTTTAAATATATACAACTTAGTTAAGTGCCTTTCAATAACTTTCTAAATTCTTTACATTGATTTTCTGTTTTAATCAGTATAAGCCTTTGTCATTATTTAAATTTGTATTCTAATACATTTTTGTTGTTTATTAACTATCATATTTCACATATGATATTTAAAGTCACTGTTAATTATCCTTGAAATATAGATAATAATCCTATGAACATCTGAAATCATTATCTATATTTTAGTCTGAAAATACGTTAAGAACTCAACATATATGCAAGTACTATATTATGCATTTTTTTTGTTTAAATTAACCAATTAGAAACCTTTTTTTTTTTTCTTAAGATATTTAGTTTATGTAAATGTCAGGAAATATTTCTCTTACTATCATAATTCAACTACATCATTAAATATTGAATATTATGATGGTAATTTATTTTAATTTAGATTAATTCCAAGTTTGATATTTCTAAACTCACCTTGTGACTAATTTATTAGTAATAAGCTATCAGTATAAAAAAGTAACAAAGTTTTATCTATATAGAAAGTAGTAGTTCACACTTTTTTGATTAATGAATTCTGATTATCTTCAGAATAAGATGTGTTTGGGTAAATATTGATTTATGCCAGTGAATAATGATCAGAAACATACAACTCAAAAAGACAAAGTTATAGTGTTTGAAGTAGTAAAATTTAACAAGGTTACAAAACTGCTCATTCCCAAATGATACTGAAATGATTTTTAATAATTTGTACATATCTATAAACAGAAAGACATGATATAGCAACTTTTTTGTTGATTTCCTATCCTGAAAACAAAACTGAAATTATACAAAATACTTATCCAATTAGAAAGCAGCACAACACTAACAATAGCCATTCTGTAATTGAAAATGGCAATGACATTAGTTTTTCCACAGACCACTCATTGTCAAACAAAATACATTACATACATTGAAAGACATACAATAATTTTACACTGAAAGAAAAGCCTAGGGAGGAAAAGTTTTCATAAACTACTTTTATATTTTGCAGTTTTAGAAATATGATGTAAGTATCCAAATATAAAAAGTTTTAATTGATAACATGAATAATTTTTTTTCCCATTTGTATATGAAAATAATATACATATTCAGATTATTAAAAAGGCTTCCAAATTCAGTTTAAATTATAAGATTAATTAAATAAATTGAAGTTATAGAAGTTATAACTAAAGCCATCTTTCAGATAATCATTCCTAATGGACATTTGTAGATTCAAATTCTATGCAATTATAAGCTAATTATATGTAAAATAACTTCATTTACAGTTTACAAGAGAACAAAATAGTAGCAAAATATTGAATTAAAGCTACAAAGATATTCGAGAAATATTATTAAAAACTTATTTGCATTTTATTTTTTGCAACAGAAAATATCAAAGTAAACTAAATAATTTGAAATATTAAATTACTATTGATAAAACTATTCAGGTTTTAGATGTAACCGAATATTTGCCAAATATATTCTAATATATCTTCTCAGAGATTGGCAGTTTTAATATATAAATAAGAGCATAAAATTTGAAAAGTGGAAATTTATCAAATTGCAAGTTATGGTAATAAACCCTTCTTAAATAATTGAAATTCATTATACAAGTCTTATGCATAATGCTATATATATATATATATATATAAAAATACAAGTAAAAGATCTGTTACTTAGCTGATTGATGTTACCTTCAGCACCCCAACTCCAGAGTACACACACCAGTTTTACAACTTAAAGAACATTATCCTTCATTTCAAAATATTAATAAAAATGATAAGCATGTTAAAAAATGAAAACTACACAGCTTACAAACTTAAAATTTACATATGTCAAAATTTTTTTAAAAAAAAGTATGCTATTATTTATATAAAATAGATATTCCCAAGTGTTAATTGTAACAAGTATTGATGTGTCAATCTCCAGCCACCACCAAAACAATTTAAAGTTTTGTTGCATGCATTCACTTCAATCCAACAAACAAGAATACTATCTTTTGTTTTTGTTGTTTTTTTAAAGACATACAATGCAATTTGAATGTTTAGAAATTTAGCAAATATACCCTTGAATCTTGAAATGTTTTATGTTGCTATAGATTTCTAATTTATACTTATATTCTGAAAATTATTATTTTGTTATTTTAGAAAATGCATTAAGTACTTGCTTTCTTCTCTAAATTCTGAATGTTTCACAAATCTAAGTTTATCTGCAATTTTAGATTCAATAAAGAAAATAAATTATTCTGACTTATCACTATTGAATCTTAATACCTGTACAAGCTGTAATATACAGAAGCATTCCCTATTGTTCAACTGCTTGATGTTAATGAAATTTTATTATTTTTTTAACATATTCCATTGCTCTGAATAGTTTAATAAGCTGTAATTCATATTTGCACTGATAATTTTTTTAAAAATGTCAAGCTTGTATGTGTAATAAATATATATATATATATATATATATATATATATATATATATATTTTCATGTTTCTAACAAATTAGGCAAATAAACAAAAAATTTAGTTACTACATTCATTGATAAATAGTCAGGGTTACAATGAACAGTTTAAGAAATTAGGTAATTTTACAAACAATTACAACTCGCTGTAATTGTGTTTGTGATATACTGAAAAATTAGATTAATTATTCAGAAAGTTTTTAGGCCTAACAATCCTAATTTTAAGAGTTTTTGATGAATTAGACAATGACCACAATATACCAAAGGGAAAGAAACAAGACATTTTATTAATTTACATATGACAAACCACCACCATGAACAAAAAACATTAAGAAAAAAAGAAAAAAGAAGTATGAAATTATTAGAAGCAAGCAAAGGCAACAGTTAGTAACCCAAAAATAATGAATCAAAGCAAAATGCAAGAAAAGAAACCAAACCAAAGAATGAAAAAAAAAAAACAGAGTGCGTGCTAACCTCATCCTCAGGGCATGGAACTTGGAGCAGTCTGGTGGACTCCATGTAACCTGATATTGGCAAACAAAACAATCATAGCAACATGAACAATGGAGCAACAAAATCTATGTGAATGAAGGCATTGTGACATTATTCAAAATCAAGCAGAAATAACCACAATACACAGCTAAGCTTTCAAAATATTTTATTTCTTGATACATAAAAGGTATCTAAAATTCTGTTCAACAACTTTATTTCTATAAATATACATTGCAGGTATATGTAAAATCATAAAATATATCAGTAATTAGAATTTTTATTATTAATGTTGGATAAAATGCATTATACTAGGTCACATTTAATCATAAAAACTTTAAAAAATAAGTTACATATCTACAACTTGATTATTTTTTTCTAAATCGGTAACTTTCTTATTTAGTGTTTACCACTTTATTCCGTAATCTTTGTCAGATAAATTTCAAACAGAGCTATTTAACAGACTTCTAATTCTATAACAAGTAGTTTTTTTCTTCTAGGAATTGAATTCAGCAGACAATACCCTCTCTACAATATGGGCAAAACTCCAGATGTCTCATAAAATATAGTGGTGTTGAAAAAGATTTGTATGTTATTTTATCACTGTAGCTGGAAAATATTCTTTTATATTATAAAGTGCCAATTTGCAGGATTCTTGCACGTTTTTTTTTGTTTTTTTTAATTTCTTTCAGATTATTTATAGAAATAGGAAGTGCGGAATTTTCAAGGGTTGAACTTCAGGCTATCTTGAAGTGTCTGTTTTTGTAGAAGGAAACTCCAAAGGAAATTCATGAATGTACAATACAAAAATTTGGTGATAAGTGTCAATCAACTGCAAAGTGGTGGTGTGCCAACTTCCTGCATAGGGATTTTGAAATACACCACAGCTTAGGTGTAGGTGGGGGGGCCTTAACAGTATTATCTCCTGAAATTCTTCATCATAATGACCTGATTTTGGCTAACAAAGTCCAAAGAACGGCTAAGAGACTAGATATCCAGGAAATGCATTGGGCTTCTAATTAATGAGTAATGTGTTATACAGATGCCAACAGCCAAATGGGTGCCAAAATGCCTGAATGCCAATCAGAAGTGATGTTGATTGTACACAAAGTTAATTTTGCAACATTTTCAGCAATCTAGTGATAATTTTAAGGGGATAGCTTGTCATTGTTGTTGAAACATAGTTATCCCACTATGACTCAGAGACCAAGCAACAGGCCAAAAAGCGATAGTGATCAGGTTCTCTATGGCTGGAGAAATTCCAAGCCCAAATATCAGCAAGAAAGTTCATAGCAACAAGTTTTTAAATGACTATCTTCAGAAATTAACCATGCTGATTAAACAGGCATTTGAGAGAGGGGGGAAAAAAGAAAAGAAAAAAAATGGTGAGGGAAGCTGCAGGAATGTGTTTTTGTTTTTTAAAGGGACAATGCAACTGCTCACAGGTTTGGCAAAACAAATGCTGTTTTGAAAAATTTAGAGTTCAAGTGTATAGGTCATTCACTCTACTCAGCAGATATTGCTTCATATGACTATTTCCTTTTAACAAACCTTAAAAGAAGTTAGAAAGGGAGGATATTTTTAATGATTAAGAAAGAGGTGATAGCAACAGCAGAGCAGTATTTCAATGACCAAACATCAGAATTTGGGGAGGAAAAGTTTAAAGAAAAATGAGAAATGATATGGCAAGAGTGCTGAACTGTGGGATGAATATATGTGGAACAGCATGTATTATTTCATGGTTTGATCAAAATCCCCAGTCCCTTCCTGATCTGGCAAAACTTTTCAGCACCCACTTCATATGTACCAATGAAAACTTTTTGACTATAAGTTCAAAGACAGAATTTCTGCAGACTGAATGAAATGAACAGAAACTAATGTTTGTTTTTATCCCATAGGAAATACCACAAAGAATGTTTTTAGGTCAATTCACTGTACTGAAGATTGTTGGATGAGACATATCTAATAATGGCTAGCAAGTTAAAATAGTGCTAGATGTAACAAAAATAAGAATAGTGATCAAAATAAATTACTAAAATCATAGACTATACAGATCTTGAATTTTTTTTTAAATCTTGGTGAATGTGTAATACCTATACTTACTGACCACTTAAGTACACATGAACAAATGTTCTTTATGAAAATTTCTAATCAGCCAATAAAGTGGTAACAATTTAATGGATATAGGCATTTAAATATTGTCATGTCAACCTGCTGAATTTCATTTCATACATTAGTATAGAAAACAAAGATGATTTAAGTGACTTTAAATATTGGTGCCAGACAAGCATTTCAAGAACTCCTGACCTACTAGGATTTTCATGCACCACTATCTCTAGGGTTTACAGAGAATGCAATTTTTTTTCTTTTTCTACTCATGAGTGGCAATTCTGTTGGCAGAAATCCTTTATTGATGAAAGATCAAAGAGGACTGGCCAAACTGGTTCAAGATGATAAAAAAAGCCATAGTATCTGAAATAACCACTCTTTACAATGGAGGTATACAGAAGAGCATCTCTGAGTGCACATGTTGAACCTTGAAGCAGATGGCCTATAGCTGTAAAGAACCACCTGGATGCAATTCCTGTCAGATTAAAAGAAACTGATGATACAATTTAAGGATCACAAAAATTGGACAACAAAAGATTGGAATAATGTTGCCTAGTCTGACTAGTCATGATTTTTGCTGCAACATTCAGATAGTAGGTCCAAAACTTAGCATAAGCAACATGAAGTTATACATCCATCCTGCTTTGTATTAACTATTCAAGGTGGTGGTATAATTATATGGGGAATTGTTTCTTGGCATATATTGGGGAAACTTGGAACCAATACAGGATTGTTTACATGCTGCAGCCTGCCTAGCTATTGTAGCTGAATATGTGCCTCAATTTATGACTGTGGTGCAGCTGTCCTATGGCAGTCACTTTCAGCAGGACAATGCACAGTGTCACAAATAAAAAAAAAAATAGTTGCAAATTGGTTTGTGGAACATAATGTGTTTTCTATGTTAAAGTGGGGCCTCCACAATCATCAAGTCTCAATTGCATAGAGCACCTTCAGGATGTAGTAGTGGAAAGAGATTTCAATTTCGGATGTGCAACCAACCGATATAGAAAAATTATAGAATGCCATAATAGCATGAACACAAATTTCAAAAGAATGCTTCCAGAACATTGTCAAATACATCTCAAAGAGTGAGATGATTCTAAAAGCAAAAAGTGGTCCAATCCAGTGCCAGAAGTTCATAACTAATGAACTGACCAGTTTCTATACACGAAATGTAATTTAATTCTAGTGACCAAATCAAATTGTGATCTTATGTAACAATAAAACTATGAAAAAAAAAAAGAAAAAAAAAAAGCTGACTAGCATGACTGAGAAAGGTTAATTAAATAGAGAATCATTTGAAATCTATCAGAAGGTAACAATTTATATTAATACAATTATTAAGTAAAATTAAAAGCTAACAAAGATTTTATTCAATCAAATTTTGAATAATGTCACAATATTTGAGGACTAATAAATGTTTGAATGGATGTATGACAAAATAGCATGCATAAGGGAGATTTATAAAATTCCTTTTAAACACCCAAATTTATATGGATAGATGTATATAATTCATCTCATGTGAACTTTTGTTTCCTCAGTATTTGGAATACTGGAGAAAATTATAAAAAGAGAAAGTATAGTTTTTTGGGTTTTTTTTAAATTAGTAAATTTTGAGGCTTTTTAGTTATTTTTAATTTAAAGGAAAATTTTTCATTAGATATTTCCAATTTCAAATAACACACTCTCTAGACTAAGTAAAAACAACCATGCACACACAATAAAAAAAAAAAAATAATATTCAAGTGCAAAAAAATTATTATTGTCACACAAAAGTTAGGAAATAAGAAAGTGAAAATAGCAAAAAGGTAAAAAGAAGAGATAAAAGAAAAAAACAATCACATCAATATAACAGTGAGTAGCAAGATGGCCAAGAAAGTGTGACAAGAAATCAATAATGATAGTCAGTGGTAGTAGTAACTGATAGTTATCACCTTGGTCTGCCCTTCAAATCCAGTCCATTTATCTACCACTGAAGGAGCCAAACTTCAACAAACATTAGATGGGAAAAAAAGACAAGATTTACCCAAACTGATATGTTAATACCTCACCCTGATTTAATTATTTTTACATCATTTTTAAAATGAACATTTTGTTAAATTTTTATGAGATTATGTCCTGTCAGAGAAAATTATGATGAGGTTATTAAAAGTAAAATAAAAGCTAAATAAGTTTATATAACTCATTAAGCTTTCATCTTAATGAAAATGTAGGTTGAAATGAAATTTAAGAAAATTTTAATAAAATTACGAATGAATATCAATCCTTTAAATACTTACCCTAAAAAGACATTTGTGAACAATATTAAGATGAATTACATAAGCATTTAATGAATACAAAATTAAATGTACAAATTTAAAAAAAAAAAAAAAAAAAGTTTCCAATTTACATAATGACAATATTCTGAAGTAAAAAAATCTCTTATAGTGAAATATTCTAGAAAAACAAAATGTTAAGCAAATCTAATGCTTTCATGGTAATTTTTTGAAACTACAAAATTTAAGATTTTTTTTTAATTTTATTTAGAAAGAAGTTAAAGTTAAAATAAAATTCTTTGACTTAAAATTGTCTCAGAATTTTTCACTGGTTTTTGTTTCATCAAACAAATCAATTTGTCACAATAAGCTATGTTAAAATGGATTCAATATTATACCTTCAGTTTTTATCTAATCATGTTTTATAACAATTGTGTGTAATAAGTGAGTTACTCAGGTCATTAAATTATAAACTATTTATACTAACTTTAAATTTTAGATATATTCCTATTTCAGACTGCTTAGCTTTTGACATATGGTCATGAGAAAAGTGAAAATGAACCAAAAAATAAAAATTAATTTGGTTAAAAAAAAAAAACTTATTAAATAAGAACAATGATTAACAAAGCAATTTGTTTTAATTATGAGTTAAAGTTCAAGCTTAAAATAAA